ATCAAATAATACTTCACCCTAATACACGCAGTAGCGTGTATTAGGGTGAAGTATTATTTGATTTTTTATTATATTATTTTTTTGCTATAGATAGTAATCTATAGCAAAAAAATAATTTCCTACTATAATTAGCAGCTCTGACCAGGACAGAATAATGTCCAAAGTGGCTTACTATCTCATTACATTACTCCCTAATGGAAAACACTTATTGCCTGCAAACTGAATCAAAGAATACTAGCTCTAGCTTGTTATTGAGTTTCTCTAGCGAAGCAGAAAATACTCTATAAAAGTTAGTACTTACATTCAGCTAAGAATCTTAACTGTCTGTTGGTATGATGCGGTAGAATTCTATTTTATTTACCGACTTCAAAAAAAGGAGTAGGTACTATGTTCGGCTGATTGTTTTTTTTTTTTTTTTTTTTTTTTTTTTTTTTTTTTGTTTGTTCGCGCAGTACTCCGCCATTTGTGAACCGATTTCCAAAATTCTTGTTTTGTTTTAAAGGGTATACTCCCGAGATGGTCCCATTTCCATGAGGTCAGGATCTGATGATGGGATCCTAGGTAAACCGAGGGGAACTTTCGAAAATTCTATGGGCAAGTAACGCGTCTATTATGTTTTTCAATTAGGATTTTGAAACACTACGATTTGATAAGGGTCTGGAGTTGACCTGATGATGGAGCCGACAAGCAGTCGAGGGAACTCCTCAGAGGTTTATATTAACTACCTTGAGTTTGGGCTTGATTAATTTGGATTGATGAGGACTTTACACCTAAATAGAGTACGGCTGTCATTAAGGATCTGATGATGAAGAAGTGTAATTGTTAAAGCAACTCCTTAACGGTATACAGTAACTACCTTGTGTTTGGGCTTGATTTATTTGTATTGATGAGGACTTTACACCTAGATAGAGTGGAGCTGTCATTAAGGGTCTGATGATGAAGAAGTGTAATTGTTAAGGGAACTCCTTAACGGTAAACAGTAACTACCTTGTGTTCGGGCTTGTATAATTTGTATTGATTAGAACTTTGCACCTATGTAGATTATAAGTAACAAAACGGGTATAATTATGTAGCTTTACACTAAAAATGATAAAATAATAAAATAAAAACTGCGTTTAAAAAACCGACTTCAAAAAACCAAAAACTAATAACAAACAAAAAGT